CGATACGCTTCCCCACGCTCACCTGCTGCGCTGGGTCTTCACAGAACTCTGGCCAGGGACCATGTCGACCGTGGTAGCACAGTCGCTGCATGCTTTTGGTCTTCGATCCCACGTGGCCAACAATATATTCTTCTTCGACGAACAGATCATTATATTTCCTTCAGGGAATTACTGTGTGAAGTACAATATGGATCAGAAATGGCAAAAATTCATTCCAGGTAAAACCCTTTCCATCCTGACACATTAACCTTATGTGGCAAAAATAACCTCATAATTCCAACATGAAGATTAAAAGAAAAGTTTTCTGGCCAACTCCCATAAACGTATAGTTCTCTAACTGTAGACGAAATCCATGTCTACTTGCATTACATGCAAATATCACATGTGAAAGAATATTAATTTAAAAGCACTTTTTCACTGTGATTTAATGAAAAATTATTTTAACAAGTCCCTTTTCATGCTTCTTCAATATCATTGTCTTTGTCATCACCTAGGCCAATTTTTGAGTTGTCTAACACAGTTTTCTAGAGCACACCACCCTCAATCCAGCACCTTTTGAATTCATGTGTGATGAAGACACTGGAGATTTTATCCCATGTCACAAATATAACTATTTGTATAATGTTACATTGTTTTTGTTCATTGATGATATACATGATTTCCACAACTTAATCACTTATTTCCTTTTCTGCTCTTTGTTGCATATAGTATGACCATATATGTGTAGCCCCATGTAAGATATAGTTTTGTGTTTGCTATTTACTAACTTTATATAAATGGAATCATAGTATGTGTGTTCGATGACTTGCTTCTGTTGTTCAACATCAGGCTTTTGAGATCCTGAATATTACATGCATCTTGAGTTCATTTTATTGCTACATCTATGAATTTAATGTCTCAAGTATATCTATCCATTCCAGTGTTAATGGACTTTTTGGGAAACAACAGTTTTTTGGTATTACAAATCATGCTAGCATAAAATTTATTGCATTCATATATGCTTGTCCCCTTGCGCAGAGATTCTTCAGGGCACACAGCCAGGACAAAAATTTCTGGGTAATATGGTAGTACCAATTTACACTCCCACCAGGACTACATGAGACTTGCCATTCCTCCACAACCTCACCGACCCTTGGTATTATCCAAATTTCTATTTTTTTGCTAATCTAGTGATTGAGAAAGGGTATCTTATTGTTTTTAGTGTTATATTTCTCTATTACTAATGAGGATGAATTTTTTTCACATGCTTATGGGCTATTTCTATTTAGTCTCCTATGAAATGCCTTATTCATCTCTTTTACCCATTTTTTTTTTGTATGGGAGTTTTTGGGTAATTTTCTTATTGACTTTTGGGCACACTTTCTATATTCTTTATACCAATCTTATGTATTGCAAATAATGTCTCCCAGTTTGGGGCTTGTGTTTTCTCCCTCCTTATGGCATCTTGATGGACAGAAATTCTTCGTTTTAATGAAGTTCATCAACATTTTCCTTTTTGTGTCTTCTTCAGGAATTGTTCCCTAACTCAAGCTTATGAATATATTCTCCTATATTTTCTCCTTTATGCTTTATACTTTTGTCTTTCACCTTTGAGGCCCTGAGTTAGGAGGGTGCTTAGTGTGTTAGGAGAATAGCAAGGAAGTCAGTGTGGCTGGAGTGGAGGGAATGGAGGAACAGGGAGCGAGAGGTGAGGCAGAGAAGTAATGGGGAGCAACATCACATAGAGCTTTGTAGGTCATAGGCTCTTACTCTGAGTGAAATGAGAAGTCATGGGGGGATTCTGAGCAGAGAGAGTAGCATCATCTGACTTATGTTTAAACAGGTTCATTTTGACCACTGGGTAGAGAATAGCTTTAAGGAGGGACAAGGGAGGGAGCAGGAGACCAGTTGAGAAACTATTGCTACAATCCAGGTGAGAGAAAATGGTGTCAAGGAGCAGGTTGTAGGTAACAGGAATGGTGAGAAGAGATCAAATCCTGGATATATTTTGAAAGTGGAGGTAACAGATTTTCTCAGAAACCAGGTGTAGGGTGGAAGAGAAAAAGAAGAAGCAAGATTTCTGGCCTGATTAAGCAGAAGGATGGAGTTGCTGTTAAGTGAGAAAGAGATCTTAGCCATAAAGCACAGTAGACACAGAGCCTAGGACTCAAGAGAATGTTTTCATTTTAACTTATTTTAAAATCAGGGAAAAAGTATAATAATAAATATGTCATAATGAATCTAGCCTGGCTCTATTCCTCTTTATACCAATGCAATCACAAAATATACTTTTTAAACTTTCTTTAATGGAGGAAGGGGCTCTTGAAAGCAATAGTATCTAGGGCCCGTGAAAATCATAACGTGATTGCACTTCCCAGATAAAGTATGTGCACTTTAGTGTTTGCCTCCGGTGCTGCTATGTAGAGGACCATAACTTGCATTCTCATGTGTTATCTCATGGTTGCAAGATGACTGCTGTAATTCCAGATATAACCCCTAGATGCCAGGGAAAGGGGGAGAGAATGTATCCATCCCTGGTTTTCAAGAAAGCACAAGCTTTACCATAAAGCCAGTCCAGCAAACTTCTGCATCTGTCTCATGGCAAGAATGTCACATAGATCACCTAACTGCAAGGAAGGCTGAGGAGTCAGTGGTTAGCATCCCAGCCTTGAGAGCAGAGGGAGAGTGTTGAGTGCTGCCCACTCAAGGCATAAAGGCCTATGTAATATGACCCTATCCCACGGCTCTAGACTTGGTCTAATAGTGACCAACCCTGGCTCACATGAGATGCTCCAGCAATATCCCACTTTCTCACATCCACACGTTTTCTCCTCCTACCACCTGTCCCACCCCTTCCCTGTCCCATTTTGTCCTCTAGGGATTGATCCCTGACTTCTCCGCCTACCTTGGCCTCAGGAAGGTGCCCACCCTGGTCATTGTTCTAATACCCCAGACATAGTTGTACCAAGGAGCTTCACAGGTTGACAATGACCTATTTCTGCACTTTTCTCCTATTGCATCAGCAGTGCCTACCACTATGCCTGGTTCATATTGAATCTTGGCGATCTACCCTCATTATTCCGTTTTACCTGTTTGCAGGCTCAGACAAGAGTCAAGCCATGTTAGCCTTGTCCATCAGTCCCAATCGGCGATACCTCGCTATCTCTGAGTTGGTGCAAGAAAAACCTCTCATCACCATTTATGAACTGTCATCCATCCCTTGCCGGAAGCGTAAAATCCTTAATAACTTTGAGTTCCCGGTTCAGAGATTTACTTGCATGGCTTTTTCTCCAGACTCCAAATACCTATTGACTCAAACATCGCCTCCAGAGTCCAACCTTGTCTACTGGCTGTGGGAAAAACAGAAAGTAATGGCCATTGTTAAAACCGACACTCAGAACAACACTGTCTACCAGGTACCTCCCAACATAACAAGTATCGTGCAGACTATTAAAAATAGTATGAGCTGTTGTTTATTGAATGTTTTCTATGTACTAGAAGCAGTGCTAATTCCTTAACATGCATATTTAACTTTAGTCTCACAACAACCGTATATGGTATTCATGATTATCCCTATTATACTGATGAGGGAACTGAGGCTCCAAGAGGTTAGGTAACTCACCTAAGATCACAGAGGTATTGAATGGCAGGGCCAGGAGCCCACTGCCTGTCTTCTTTACTCTGGCCTAGAACTGCTTTCTGGTCACAGATTCAGCCCAGAGGTGAAGTGATCCAACTCGCTCTCTCTTTCTGGTTCTGGCCTCTTTTCAGCATCATGGCTAGGCAATGGGAGGATTTCAGGGAGTAATGTGAAGTGGTAGATCTTTAAGAAGCTGTCAATGAAATTGTAGTTATAAGGGGAGCAGAGTTTTCTATTGTTATTTGAAGGCAAAATAAAGAGCACCTGTTAGGAAGCTGGTTCACTGCTAAGGCAGTAGGTCCCAAAGAGTTTTATCCTGGTGCAGTCAACCCAGTGTAGGATCTAGAACTCGGTTTTACAGGTTGTCAGGAACTCGGCTCCATTCAGTGGACTCAGTCATTCCCACAGGAGGCTAGTGCATAAACCAGCACCTCAAGACCAGAGCACTCACATCATTTATCCAGTGTATTTCCACCCTAGGAATAGAGAACTTGGAAGTGAAATTAGCAATTAGAAGGCTCCTTGGTGATCACAGAATCAGGGAGAGCCAAGGGTCATTTCCTCCAGGCCATAGCGAGGCCTGTGCAGCATCCCCATTCAGAGCAGAGAGCACCTTTGCTCCAATAGATGCAATGCACATTCATTAGATGTTCACTATGAACCCAGCGCTGGGAATACAGAGATGACAAAGCCACAGCCCCTCAAGTTGCTCACCATCTAATGGGGGTGACAGGTTGACTGCCTGTCACTGTACGTGGGGATGAGGAGGGTACAGATAAAGGAAGCTCAGTTGGCAGGAGACCACATAGCAGCCCCTGACATTTGGTTCCTTCCCCCTGGTCAGGGCACATAAACCTGCCAGACCCTCCTGTTCCTGTGTTTGCAGCTGAGCCTTCATTCCTTTTTGTTGACACAGTGCTCGGCCATTGTCAAGACCTGCTCATTTTGCTTTTGGCCTCTGTAAAATGACTTTTGTAGGTTTCCTAGTTTAAAACAACGGGCCCCACAAATATAATGGATATAGATCTGTGCTTTTATTAAATATGGTATCAAAAGTATATGATTTAGTGATGTTTCAAGGGTACTCTGAGTTACCTGAAATAAATATTAATTGGTAACATGGGAAGTAATTCCATTAAGATCAGTTTTATAAAGCTTTGTCTTTCATTCTTTCACACTCTGCAGGTGAGCTTCAGTCCTCAGGATAACACGCAGGTGTGTGTCACTGGAAATGGGATATTTAAGCTTCTCCGCTTTGCCGAGGGAACCCTGAAGCAAACCAACTTTCAGAGGGGAGAACCCCAAAACTACCTAGCCCATACCTGGGTGTCTGATGACAAGATTGTCGTTGGCACTGATACAGGCAGGCTCTTCCTCTTTGAATCTGGAGATCAACGCTGGGAGACAAGTATAATGGTCAAGGAGTCCACCAACGAGCTGAAGAACCTGGAGATGATGCAGGAATCAGAGAGGTAATGGCACCCCGCTGGTGCTCCTCTAAAAATAAGCTCCTCGTACTAATAGCGTCACATGAAAACCAGCATTCTTTAAAAATCACTCATTACCTCTCTACCTTAAAAACCAACTCTTCATTTTCCCTCTGCCTTTCTAGTGTTCATCCATATTCAAGCACAAATTTGACAGTTATGACCGTAGCCTAGAAACAGTTCTTTTTATTTTTATACCTAACCTCATTTTCGTATGACTGGTCTTCCAAACTACAGATTTTCCAAATTATATTTTCGAATGGCTGCCTAATTTACTGAATCAATTGAATAAATGTCCACCGAGCACTTGCAGTGTGCCAGGCATCTTGCTAGGTGCTGGGGACACAGATCCCCCAGGACCTTGCAATTCAGTAGGAGGCAGCAGACCAACAAAGAGGTGCAAGGAAATATCAACAGAAGCATATGGGCTAAATTAGAGGCTCAGGGGGGAGCTATCAATCTTACCTCTACCAATAGCCTCTCACCCATATTGGACTGTACCATTGTATGTACTAGGCACTGCTTATATATATTCTCATTTGAGTCTTACCCATATAGTACATATTATTATCATGCCCATTTTATAGACAAGGAAACTGACACTCAAAGAGGTTAACTGGCTTACCCAGTTAGCACTGAGAAGTGGCAGGGTCAGGATTCAAACCCAGATCTGTCTGACTCCAGAGCCTGAGCCCTCAACCATAATGGCATACTATAGCTCCTCCTTCCTCAATAACTTTCAGTCCACCATTTTCACCATTCCTGCCAATGATGTCTCTTAATAAGTTGCCATGCCCTCCAGTTTGCTGAGTTCAAAATCCTTCAGTGGGTCTAGACTTCTTCCACATGTCTGCTACTCTGTCCCTTCTTTACTTCTAGAGCATTGGCTCTGCCCTCTACGGACCATGCATGCCTCATGCATGCTCTTGCTTCTGAGCTTGGTAATGTGTAGTTCCCCTGCCCCCTTCACACCCCACTCCCATGGATACATACACATATGTGACGTACTGTTGCTCGTTCTTTAGATCTTAGCTGGGAGGGCTTAGCGTCTGCATATCTCTGGTCAGTGCACCTTCCCTATAACCGTATTCAGAAAATCCTTGCTACCTGTTGACTGGCTGTTCCCATCCTACTGAGCTACCCCCTAACAGTCCTATCACATGTGCTCTAGAACAGCGGTCACCAACCTTTGAGACCTCATGGACCACCAGTGGTCTGTGGACCACTGGTTGGTGACCACTGCTCTAGACTATAACCTTCTAAAGGTAAATAAGATGTATCAATCTTATTTACCACTAGAGGCCCAATGCACAAAATTTATGCAAGGGGCTTGGCCCTTGCAGCCCCTCACAGCCCTCGCAGCCCCAACTTCGTCTGGAAGGTTGTCTGGACGGTCATTCGGCTGTTTGGTCTATTAGCATATTAGCTCTTTATTACATAGGATTATTTCACAGAGTTGTTACCACTGTATAACACCATTATATCTATAATAATAAAAGCGTAATATGCTAATTAGACCAGACAGCCAGACGACCTTCCGGACGAAGCCGGGGCTTTGAAGTCCGAGGCAAGCCGCCATGGCTGGGTGGTTTCTCCCACACCCAAGGGCTGACACAAGCCACCGCAGCTGCGAGAGCCAAGCCCCTTGCACGAATTTCATGCATTGGGCCTCCAGTTGTTAGATGAATGAATGAGAGGAGTAGAGAGAGAGGGAAGGAGGAAATGGATACCTTGATACAAATCTCAACTCTTCTACTTACTAAGTGTGTGATTTTAGAAAACTCAATCCCTTGAGCCACTTTTTTCTAAACACCAAAATGAGGATATTAATAATATTCTACTTACTAGAGGCCCGGTGCATGAAATTTGTGCATGGGTAGGGTCCGTAGGCCTGGCCGGCAATCAGAGCCAATCTGTGGAGTGACTGGCGGGGTGATTTGGGGGACCCCCACTGGCACCCACCTTGGCTGGCCTGGTGCCGCCCACTTGCTGGTCCCACCTGCTCACCAGCCAGCCCCACCCTCCCTGATCACCCCACCACTGCTGCCGGTCGCCTTTCTCAGTGGGGCGACCAGCAGGGCAATTGAGGGGAGGGGCCCACTGGCACCCACCTTGTTTGGCCTGGGGCCTGTGAGCTGGGGGCAGCTCCTGTGTTTAGTGTCTGCCCCCTGGTGGCCAGTGCAAGTCATAGTGACTGGTCATTCTGCCATTCAGTTGATTTGCATATTAGGCTTTTATTATATAGGACTAGAGGCCCGGTGCACAAAAA